AATCTTAACAGGATTGACGAACTGTCGTTTCGATATTGAAGATATACACATTAGTTCAACTTTAAAAAAATCAATTTATTTAAAACTAATTTTTTTCACCATATAATGTATTATACGCTATTATAAGTTATACCGTGCATTCTTATTTGAGTTTTTATATTTCATAATCCCATTGCAGCTTGCGGGAATCTTAGTATGCATGGTTCTAATCATCACTCAAATCCACTATACATAAAGTTCCTAGGTAGGAGACACATGAATACATTAACCATTGAAAATAATATTTTATTAGATATTCTTGATCATGCCATGCACTGTTTATTCATAATGCCGTCTGAATTTTTTGTTTTATATAATTAATTAATGGAAATAATAATTACAAACTATATTAACGTACGTGTGAACTTTAAAAATTATTTTTTTCTTGGACTTACCATCGTTTCTTGGAAATAATAATATTTAATATAAATTCTCCATTTTTTAAAATTGTTTCAACAAACTCCATTCTTTAAATTTAAACAATCAATATTGTTATATATGCACACTCTAATATTCTCTTTATTTCAAAATAATTATTTTTCTAATTTTAAAAAGCTCAATTTTCAAGTAATGTATAAGGATATGGAATCAAACATAGATTTCTAGAAGCACTTTAATTTCTGGTGCATTGGTCAAAGGGGTTGTAGTAAAGCTGATATGAATAAGGATATTCCCTGATTTGCAGGATACGGATGACAGTTGTTTTTTTTAACTGTAAAGTAACAAATTATATTTTTATATTATATATGAAAGAAAAGAATCGTTTAAAAAACAATGAGTGATTATAAATTGAAAGAGACCATAAATTATTTATATTTAGTAGAAATGTGCAGATTGAATCCAAGTTTATCTAATTGTTGATATATTAAAAGAGTTACACATTTTTAATTTTGTAAAGAAAGAGAAAGTTTAAAATTATATAATACATTTAAATTTTTTTATTATGATTACATCATTTATAAATATTTTAAATTTGTATTTGATTTTTTATACTTTTTCTTATACTATTGTGTTAAAATATTGTGATATATAGTTAAATATTTATTTAGAAAAGTGTTGGTGGTGTATTTGAGTATTAGGGTGACTGAAGGTAGTCCATGTGTTGTAATAATTTTTTATATTGTGTTATTTTTTGGTTGTCATTTAATAATGACTATGGTTTTTCTCTAATTTTGGAGTTTTCGTGTTAAATTCTTATGTTTTGATTGTGTTTCTCTTCTTCTCTATGCATTGATTTTTTCTAACAATTGATAGCAAAAGCTTTTTGGTTTGTAGTATAAAATTTTTAATATGCTTTTTGGTTATAATTTTGTGTGATCGTCTATATTAGAAAATATATTTTATACTCTATTTTGTTTGTGAAAAAAATTTGTTGCATGAAAGGTGTTGTCTACAATGTAATGTTTTTCAAGTGCAGTGAGGTTTGGCTTAGAGAAATATGATAAATTTGATGGAAGAATCAATTTTGACTTGTGAAAATAAAAATCAAAGATGTTTTGATATAATTAGGATTATACAAGATGTTGAAATGAAACATTTTCAATATGGATAACAAGAAGTGAGAGGAACTAGATCTGAGAGCTTTGAGTACAATTCGTATGATTTGGCTAAGAATATTTTTGTAAATGTTCTTGGTATGTAGCCACCCAAAAAGTTTTGGGAGAAACTTGAATGCCTATACCAACGAAATGATATTTCAAATTGGTTATTATTGAAGGAGTAGTTTCATGGCTTGCGTATGGATAAAAATATGAAATTATATCATCTAAGTATTCTCAATGATATCGTTTTTGAATTAGAATATATTAGAGTCAAGATTGATGATGAATAAAGCTTTGAGACTCATACGGTCTCTTCCACATTCCTATACGATATTAACTTGTTTTGATATATGTGAAGAAAACTTTGAATCTTAATGAAGTTGCTAGTTAAATTATTTCTGAAGAAAGAAGATTGAAGAGTATAGATAATATTTCATTAAACTCGGTGTTGGTTGCTATATGTGAAGAAAAACAATAAAATAGGTGTTAGATGTTGAATGATTAGGCATGTAAAATATAAGTGTCTTGATGGGACAACGTTAGAAAAATCCTTTGAGTCAAATGCTAGCAATGTCTCCCTCACTATGGGAGATGGTGATTTTTATTTTCTAAAAAATGAGAAGTGTTCTCCTCATGAAATTTTCGTTGTCATGGAAAAGGACGTTATTGTTAGCAGATTAACACATGTACATTGATACAAAGTGTCTTATCGGATTATGTCGATGGTTGAAGAGATTCCTGCCAATATAGAAGTTGCACCATAAGTTTTCAACCTGATTTCTAACGTGTGAAATTTTTTAGAGTGGTTTAGCTTCAAATTAAGTATAATCTTATTTTGATGGAGTATGATAGTTTTTGAACTATGATCATCGGTGAAGACAATATAAAAATTCTTGAAGTGGTGTAGCTCCAAGTGATTATACTCTTTACGGTGGAGTATCATAGTTCTTTTAAACTATGATTGTAAATTAATAAAATATAAGAGGATGCATTTCTTTTAATCAAAGTGCAGATTTTTAATGTTGGTTGAAAATATACATATTGACGAAGTTCTGTATCACTTAGCTTTGTAAAGGAAGAGGGGGTCGAATGCTATATATTTTCTTTAGATGTATGAGTGTATTGGGACCTTAGGGTGGTTCAGGGTAGTTTATGAGTTGTAAAAATTTTCACAAAATATTATTATCTGGTTATCATTTGAAAACAATTGTAGTATTTTCTCCAATTTAGGAGTTTCTACGTTAAATTATTGTCTTGTGATTGTGTTTCTCTTTTTCTCTATGCATTAATTTTTCCTAACAGACTAGGAGTGAGTGTGTCTGACATTATCAATACCCCTCTAATTTATAAATGTATGTTATATTTGTTTTTGATTTTGATGTGGAAGTAACACCTTAAAGAGAAAGCTACGATTGTTGATGGAAATAGACTGTGCCAAGTTAAGGTTTATCAAATTTAAGTTTAACTTGTAAAAAAAAATCAAGGCTTATGTCTTACCTGGAGCATATGACAGACTTATTTTTAGACTTGAGTTTGATCTTTTCGAAAGCTTTATTGACATATTAGTCTATTCAAAATTCTACTTTGTTTGAATATTGTTATGGGTCGTGCGTAAGCCCGTGAAGTGACGACCCAATTACACAAAAGTGAATCATCGTGCTAATCTCCCAACTCAATCCAACGGTTGTCTGCATCTCACAGTGTTACAAACATGTGCGCTTATCAACCACCTCTCATATGTGTGCCGCTTCATAGATATTCAAATCCTTTCTCATTCAAATTTCATTTCTCATTCTCTTATTGACTTGAACATTTGAGTGTCCCCTTACAGATCAATTCCATCAGAAGCCTTGAACTATCGTAATAAATAATGAATTCATCCTCTCTGATCATCTAATTCCAGAGCAAAATAAATATATTTAAATTAGTAACTGAATTTATGTTTAAATAGACTACCGTGATAAACTGTCAATGAGATTAAGGACGTATTTGGATAAACTTATATGAGTTTATATATTGACATAAATTTTGTGACACTGTTATTTTGGATAACTTAGAAAATATCTTATATCATTGTTCATAAATTATTTTTAATTTATTTTAATAAATTCTTCAAGATAGATAAATATTATTTTAATATTCAACTTGACATTTTTATAATCTAACTATATAAAATATCATATTTTAGATAATTAGTTGTGAGCGTGTCTCACATTGTCAATGCTTTTCGAATGTATAAATATATGATTATTTTTTTTTGCTTTTATATGAAAGTATATGTCAAAAAAAAAATTAAGGCTTAGGTATGATTTTAGATTGTCATAAATTTATTTTAGATTTGAGTTTAGTCTTTTCGAAATCGTTATTGATTTGTAAACCTATTTAAAAATCTACTTTGTTTAAACATATTTAAATTAGTAGTTAAATTTATGTTTAAACAGTTTAACGAGATAAAAGTTCAATGAGATTAAAAACATATTAGGATAAACTTATTTGAGTTTATTTAATAACGTCATAAATTTTGTAAGATTATTAGTTTTGAAAAACTTATAAAAACACTTTATACTATCATTGTTCATAAATTAGTTTCAACTTATTTTAATAAGTTCTCCAGATTAGATAAATTTTGATTTTGATATTTAATTTAACATTTTATAAAATCAAACTATATAAAATATCACATTTTTTAATTTATTCTAATCATACATTAAATTATATACACAAAAATTAATGTAGATTAATAAATTTAAATTACTGAAAAAGTTAATGAATTTATAAACTATTCAAAAAATATAATATAATATAATATAATATAATAATAAAATAAAATTATTCATATTTATTTATATAAATTTTAAATTACCTTTTTATAGTATGTGTTATACTTTTTTTTTTTTTTAATTTAATAGGTTTTAGAAAACCTAAACATTCTCTATTTAAAATAAATCTTATCTAACCTATGTAGATTAAGTCATAGAGATTAAGTCATAGGTCATAGACAACGTCTGGTCTATTTTTCATCCTAGTTATTATTTATAGATTTTGTAAATTACAATAAATTTGTATATATTTGATAATTAACATATTTAATTTATATAGAAATTAAATATATTAATTTGGTAAATATATCCAAAAAAAAAGTGAAGTTTATTATAATAATGGTGGGAGTGTGTATTGAAAACCAATTTCATATTTAAAGAAGCTAAACTAAACATATGCATAGTTGGAAACTTTTAGCATTCTAACCAACATTTATAAAAGATCCAAACCCATTTAATAATTTTATATAAACATTACAATTTGCAACTCAAACTATATTAATTAACTAACCTAAAACATGTTAATCCAAATTAATGAACATTGAACCATACACTTTTTCTCTGAAGATACAAAATCTTAAGCAAGAAAACATAGTAAAACTCAACTAAAACTTGGTCTCTCCCTAGATGAAGAAGAATGCAAAAACTCAATACAATCTTCAACAGTTTCAGCTCTATGAGAATCTGTAAGGTCAGAAATTGAACGTGACCTTACCAAAGTAGATGAAGAAGAAACCTTCCTAGAAGATGTTCTTTTCATGGAAACACTTTTTATAGAACTTGCAACCTTTGTTCCTAGCTGCACTAAGAATTTCAGTGGCGGTGATAATTTTGATTCTGTTGTGAATTTGAAATCTCTTTTCTTGAGGAAGATTGTTGGTATGTCATTGACATTAGGACTAAAGCATACTCTTTTGCTTTTGATTGACATTTTGAATAGGTATAGGAGAATTATAAGTTGGAAAAAAGAGTGTTGGTTTGGTTTGGGAAAGGGAAAGAGAAACAAAATGTGCAAAGAGTGAGAATGTTTGTTAGGGACTTAGGGTGGAGAGTTGGGTAGCAAGAGTATATATAGATAAATCAATTGAAGGACAAAAAATTACTAAAGTAAAATGGAAAAAGAATATACTATAATTAAAACTATTCCAATATCTTATTCTTCCTAATCAAATGAGAATCTCTCATAGACCAATGAGGGAAAAAAAAAAAAAGGGTTTGGTCAAAAGAGAAAGTGGTGACTTGAGAAAGGGACAAAGAGTGAAACAAATTAGTTTGTAGAAAAAAAGGAAGTAACATAGCAGAGAGAGAGAGAGAGAAGGGAACTGGTAAACACTATGTTGCTTTTTAGGTGGAATTTGCAGGGTCAAGTTATGCTTTATGTTACCCATTTGGTTATGTTTCTCAAACCAGAAATCGAGATGTAACAAGAACTGGCCCATCTTATGTTAGTAGTATCTTTGTGTAACAAGAGAATGTATAAAGAAATTAAGAGGGAATTGGTTTGAATATTAGGTAAGAAATTAAAGAGATAAGAAAAATACTAGTCAATAAAGTTTAGCTCGATTTTATATAAATAGAACCAAAGAAACTACTAGACAATGTATAGAGAAAAAAAATGAAGACCATTCTTAAATATGATTAAAAGTTTGTGTTTAGATTAGGTAATTAGAAATTTTATAAAACTTGAACACTAACCAATTTAAATATTTCAATTAAACTTTTTTTTATTTTAAAATTCTTTTGGATAGAGTGATAAATTATTCATTATTAATTTCTTCAGACTATTCTAATAAATTTAAAAATTTTAGGTAAAATTAAAATTTTATAAAATATGAATTAATTTATAATTTTTCAAAAATAATGGATTGCTTTTAAATTTTGAAAAATTACAAGGATCAATTTGTAATTTAAAAATCATAGATTATATGAAATTTTAGATTAATATAAAGACCAACTTGTAAAATTTAAAATACTAATAAGAACTAACATTTATACTGTATAAGAATTTTGAGATTCCTTGATTTTAAGTGTAATTTAAAATTTTTTAAATTTAACTTTAACAATTTTCATAAACTTTAAAAACTGTTTTTTTCTTTCGACTCTGGCTCTCTTTTCTTCTATTAAAAAAACTCTAAATTTTTTGAATCTTTAATACTATTGCTACATTTCTAAAAGTTTTCTAAAATGCCGCACTTGGAAAAATTATATCCAAATGTCATATTTTTAATTTTGTGTGAGGGTTCATCCTATGAAAGTAAGGAAGCCCGTTAAGTTTTGGCCTGCAATTTTTTTTTAACTGCGGAATTTGCTACTCATTTAAGATTTTTTTTTGCAAGAAAGATATTAATTGTGGATTTCCCTGTGAAACTCATGAGGCAAATTATTGTAAGATTATTGACAAAATCGATAGGAAAATTCATTGGTAATGTGTTTTCTGCAAAAAAAATTTCTTAATTCTAGAGAAATATTGGTAGGTAAACTTATAAAAATGAAAAGAAAAAAAATAATAAGCAACACTTCATGGGTTTCCGCTCTTTCAATGGACGAATCCCTACACAAAAAATTAAACACGTGGAATTTTGGGCATTATTTTTCAAAATATAACATTTTGAAAAATAAATTCACAAGTGTGGCATTGGTGTTAAAGATTCAAAAAATTTATTTAAATAATTGGATTTATCAAAAGAATTTTAAATTCTTTCAAAAAATTATATCACCTCAAAAGAGTATAAATGTATTAAAATATGAACATAAAAAGAAAACATATTTTTAGGACTAGAGAAATTCGTCATCAAAGGGCTAACGACACTTGCAAGTCCGATGATGAAGCTCCGGTGGTGGTCAGCGTTTGTCATGACGACGATCTTCAGGTCGATCTAGTGGTCCACGAAGATGAGGGAAGGTGGTGGTCGGAGTCTAACTAGCGGCGGAGATGGAGCTCTGGTGGTTCATAGTGACGGTCGGGCAACAACAAGCTAATGGTTGTTCGAACGAGTCTTGTGTTTCTAGCTGGATCAATTCAATTTTGGGCATGTTTTAGTTATGTTGGATTTTAATAGTTATAAATGTTGAAATTCTAGCACACACAATAAAGGTTATCAAGACTGATGTCTCAACACAAGCACAATGTCTCGACAGATGTTACGACATCTGCAGACTGAAAGAACTTTTATCAAAATTAAACTATGCAGAATTTAAATGCAGAAGGTAAAAGAACACAAGGAATTGTTAACCCAGTTCGGTGCAACTCACCTACTATGGGGGCTACCGAGCCAGGAAAGAAATCCACTATCAGTAGTATCAATTCGAAGCTAAACAATCCCACTTTAAGCTTCTCACTTAATCCCTACCTATTGCAATTTCTACCTAGACACCTCCTAGATATGAGAACCTTTCTCACTCCTAATCACCGCAGTGATATTAAACAATCTCAGTCCCAGGAAATATCTCAAGAAACCAAAAAGGAAGAACACACTTCCAAATTAAAATACTCAGTGTGCTTAAAAGCTTCACTAAGAATAATATTCAACTCTTTCTTAAAAGCTTCGAGGAGAATAATAACTTGATAAACAAGTAACAATCAGATAACTCAAATGCATCAAAAGATACATGAGGACGTATAAAAAACACACAGAGAACCTAAGGAACTATCAAACCCTTAACCCTTATTTTTCATAAGGTTATACAATAAAACTACGCTTCTTAAAAACTAGGTCATGGGCGACTCCTTATATATACTTCTACAGTTAGGCTTAGAATCAATCAATATAATCTTCAACTCTAAATCCCTGCAGAATCTTCTCCACAAAAATATAAACAAAAACAAATCTTTCAAATATTTCCTAAAAACTCTCAAAGATCCTTTTTATGAAACAAATCAAATCAACAATTGCTCCTAAAAATCCTTGATTAACCGCGCTTCTTATGAGTACTAGAAACATCCAGAATCTCATATATTTCAATCAAATCTTCAAGGATATTATCCAGTTGTACTGTCATGATATTTTGTTGCAACATGTTACAACATCTAGAACACCTGTCAAATAAGTACCAGCAAACTTTGTTGTACCAGCTGGTCAATATGTTATGACATCTTGCTCAATATTAGGTTGCAATACATGTTTCTCCCTATGGAACATGTTTTGATAAAATTGTTGTCAACTACTTGTTTTACCAAAATGGTTGCCAACCATAAAATCACAGACCTAACAATCACCCTATGAAAGTGAGGAAGCCCGTTAAGTGTTGGTCTGCGCTTTTTTTGTTTACTGCGGAATTTCCTACCCATTTAAGAATTATTTTTTTGCAAGAAAGACATTAATTGTGGATTTCCCTATGAAACTTCATGAGGCAAATTATTGTAAGATTGTTGACAAAATCAATAGGATAAATTCATTGGTAATATGTTTTCTACAAAGATTTTCCTTGAATCTAGAGGAAAATTTGTAGGTAAACAGATTAAAATGAAAAAAGAAAAAAACAAGCCAACACTTCATGGGTTTCTTTCAATGGGCGAATCCCCACACAAAAAATTAAACATGTGGAATTTTGGGCATTATTTTTCAAAGTTTAACATTTTGAAAAATAAATTCACAAGTGTGACGTTGGTGTCAAAGATTCAAAATTTCCATCTAAATAATTGGATTTATCAAAAGAATTTTAAATTATTTCAAAAAATTATATCACCTCAAAAGAGTATAAGCATGCATTAAAACCTCGAGTGAAGAAAACATATTTTTAGGACTAGAGAAATTCGTCATCAAAGGGCTAGCGATACCTGCAAGTCCGGTGATGAAGCTCCGATGGTGGTCAGCGTTGGTCATGACTATGATCTTCAGGTCGATCTAGTGGTCCACGAAGACGAGGGGAGGTGGTGGTCGGAGTTTGACTAGCGGCGGAGATGGAGCTCTGGTGGTTCATAGTGACGGTCGGGCGACAACAAGCTAATGGTTGTTCGAACGAGTCTTATGTTTCTAGCTAGATCAATTCAATTTTTGGCATGTTTTGGTTATGTTGGATTTTAATAGTTATAAATATTGAAATTCTAGCATACATAATAAAGTTTGTCAAGACTGATGTCTCAACACAAGCACAATGTCTCGACAGATATTACGACATCTACAGACTGACAGAACTTTTATCAAAATTAAACTATGCAGAATTTAAATGCAGAAGGTAAAAGAACACAAGGAATTGTTATCCCAGTTCGGTGCAACTCACCTACTCCGAGGGCTACCGAGCCAGGAAAGAAATCCACTGTCAGTAGTATCAATTCAAAGCTAAACAATATCACCTTACACTTCTCACTTAATCCCTACCCAGTGCAATTTCTACATAGGCACCTCCTAGATATGAGAACCCTTCTCACTCTCAATCACCGCAGTGATATTAAACAATCTCAATCCCAGGAAATGTCTCAAGAAATCAAAAAGGAAGAACACACTTCCAAATTAAAATACTTATTGTGCTTAAAATCTTCATTAAGAACAATACTCAACTCTTTCTTAAAAGCTTCGAGGAGAACAGTAACTTGATAAACAAGTAACAATCAGTTAACTCAAATGCATCAAAAGATACATGAGGACGTACAAAAGACACATGGACAACCTAAGGAAATATCAAACCATTAACCCTTATTTTTCATAAGGTTATACAATAAAACTATGCTTCTTAAAAACTAGGTCATGGGCGACTCCTTATATAGACTTCTACAATTAGGCTTAGACTCTTCAATCAAATATAATCTTCATCTCTAAATCCCTGCAGAATCTTTTCCACAAAAATATAAACAAAAACAAAATTTTCAAATATTTCCTAAAAACTCTCAAAGATCCTTTTTATGAAACAAATCAAATCAGCAACTGCTCCTAAAAATCCTTGATTAACCGCGCTTGTTATGAGTAATAGAAACCTCCAGAATCTCATATATTT